GGTTTGGGCAACCCTTGTTTTATTTTAAAAATTCTAATTTATTTATTTTTATGTATATGGGTATTGGTCTGCATATATATATATATATATATATATATATATATATATGCACCATGTGTGTCTGATGCCCTTTGTAGCCAGAAGAGGGTGTTGCTTCTCCAAAGCCTGGGTTACAGACAACTGTGAGCTGCCATGTGGATTTGGGGAATTGAACCTGGGTCCTTTGGAAGAACAGTCAGTGCTTTTAACCACTGAACCATCTCTCCAGCCCCCATAACCAGTATTCTTTTCTCTCCTTCAGTGAGATTGACTTCTAAGAGTCTAAGCAAAATACATGCTATGTTCACTTTTCCGTGCCTGACTTATTTTCACTGAACATAATGGTCTCCAGTCTCCATGTTACCACAAATGACATAATAGCATGCTTTTTTATGGTTGAGTACTAGTCCATTATGTTTACATACCACATTTACTTTATTTACTAATCAACTGATGGCTCCCAAGGTGGAGTCCATATCTTGGCAGTTGTGAATAGCACTGAGATTATCTGTGAGCACACGTGTGTTGTCATGCATGTGTCCACTCCCATTCCCCTAGATGTATAGGCAGTAGAGGACTGCCAAATCAGAGACAGTTCTGTTTCCGGTTTGCAGGGGACCCTCCATGTTGTTGCCTACGGCAACTGCTCTAAGTTGAATCCTTGCCAACAGTCTCAGAGCATTCTCCATTCTCCATATCCCCATTTGTTAGTGTTTTGCCAGTTTGATGACAGCTTTTCCTACAGGAACGAGAAGATGTCCTGTGGTGTTGATTTGGGTTTCCCTAATGATTAGGAACACTGGCTACTTACTTTCCATACACTTCCATTACATATGCATTTTCCTATTCTCTTCCAGGAAGTATCCCTTTTGCTCATTTGTTCAATTATTTTACCTTTTACATTTACTTATCTGTCAGTCTATTTATTTGGGGGTAGAGTCAGAGGACCATGTGCAGGATTTGGGGGTGGAGTCAGAGGACCACGTGCAGGATTTGGTTCTTACCTTCTACCACATGGGTCCCAGGGACTGAACTCAGGTCCTGAGTCTTGAGGTGGGCACTTTTGTGAGTCATCCCCCCCATTTGTGCATTTTTTAACTCAACACTTTTTTAAATTCAAATTTTATTTAAATTAGAAACCATCTTATTTTACATATCAATCCCAGTTCCCTCTTCCTCCCATATCCCCCCACCGAACCCTCATCCCATCCCCCATTCACTCCCCAGGGAGGGTGAGGCCTTCCATGAGGGATCATCAAAATCTGCCAAGTCATTTGGAGCAGGGCCTAGGCTCTCCCCTGTGTATCTAGGCTAAGAGAGTATCCCTCCATGGGAAATGGGCTCCTGAAGTCCATTCCTGCACTAGGGATGCATCCTGGTTCCGCTGCCAGAGGCACCATAGACTGCTCAATGCTCCTAGCTGACACCCATGTTTGGGGGGCCTGGTGTGATCCTATGTTGGTTCCCAGCTGTCAGACTGTCATCTGTCATCTGTTTCTGTGGGTTTTCCCAGGATGGTCTTGACTCCATTGTTGGTCATTCCTCCCTCTCTGAAGTTGAATTCCATAGCTAAGCTCAGTGCTTAGCTGTGGATCTCTGCTTCTGCTTCCATCAGCTACTGGATGAAGGCTCTAGGATGGCATTTAAGGTAGTTATTATTCACATTATAGGGGAAGGGCATTTAAGGTAGTCTCTCTACTATTGCTTAGGTTCCTAGTTAGGGTCATCCTTGTGGATCTCTGTACAATTCCCTGGTGCCAGATTTCTCTCTAAACCTATAGTGGCTTCCTCTATTGATGTGCCTCTTTTATTGTTTTCCTCTATTTCTCTCCCCACTCAATCTTCCTGATCCCTCATGTTCTCCTCCCCCCTTGTCTTCTCCCCTACTCTTTCTCCTAACCCCCTTCCCTCTCCCCTTCATACTCCCCATTTGTTCGGGGGCTCTTGTCTTTTCTGCTTCACTGGGGACCATGTAAATCTCTCTTATGGTCCTTCTTGTTTCCTTGCTTCTCTGGAGGTGTGGATTGTAGGCTGGGAATTATTTGCTCTATGTCTAATATCCATGTATGAGTGAGTACATACCATATTTGTCTTTTTGTGACTGGGTTACCTCACTCAGGATGGTTTCTTCTAGTTCCATCCATTTGCCTGCAAATTTCAAGATTCCATTGATTTTTTTCCCATTGTGTAAATGTACCACATTTTCTGTATCCACTCTTCAGTTGAGGGGCGTCCAGGTTGCTTCCGGGTTCTGGCTATTACAAATAATGCTGCTATGAACATAGTTGAACAGATATTCTTGTTGTAGGAATGTGCATCCTTTGGGTATTTGCCTAAGAGTGGAATTGCTGGATATTGAGGTAGACTGGCTCCCATTTTCTGGAGAAACTGCCATATAAGTTGGCACTCACACCAGATATGGAGAAGCGTTTCCCTTTCTCTACATCCTCTCCAGCATAAACTGTCATTGGTGTTTTTGATTTTAGCCATTCTAATAGGTGTAAGATGGTGTCTCAGAGTAGTTTTGATTTGCATTTCCCTGATGGCTAAGGATGCTGAACAATTTAAGTGTCTTTCAGCCATTTTTGATTCTTCTATTGAGAATTCTCTGTTTAGTTCTGTACTCCACTTTTTAACTGGATTATTTGGTGTTTTTATGGCTAGCTTCTTGAGTTCTTTGAATATTTTGGAGATCAGCCCTCTGTCTGATGTGAGGTTGGTGAAGATCTTTTCCCATACTGTGGGCTGCTGTTTAGTCTTGTTGACTGTGTTCTTTGCCTTACAGAAGCTTCTCAGTTTCAGGAGGACCCATTTATTAATTGTCAATCTCAGTGTCTTTGCTACTGGCATTATGTTCAGGAAGTGATCTCCTGTGCCAATTTGTTCAAGGGTACCTCCCACTTTCTCTTCTAAGAGGTTCAGTGTGACTGAATTTATGTTGAGGTCTTTATCTCCCATGCTCTTGGATAAGTAGGATCAACATAGTAAAAATAGCAATCTTATCAAAAGCAATCTACAGATTCAATGCAATCCCTATCAAAATCCTAGCACAATTCTTCACAGACCTTGAAAAGACAATAGTCAACTTTATATGGAAAAACAAAAAAACCAAGGATAGCCAAAACAACCCTGTACAATAAAGGAACTTCAGGAGGCAACACCATCCTTGATTTCAAGCTGTACCATAGAGCTATAGTAATGAAAACATCTTGGTATTGACACGAAAACAGACTGGTAGACCAATGGAATCAAATTAAACACCCTGATATTAACCCACACACCTATGAAAACCTGATCTTTGACAAAGAAGCTAAAACTATACAGTAGAAAAAGAAAGCATCTTCAACAAATGGTGCTGGCATAACTGGATGCAGACATGTAGAAGACTGCAGATAGATCCATATCTAACCCATGCCCAAAACTTAAGTCCAACTGGATCAAAGACCTCAACATAATTGGACACTTGTTTTTTTCTGCAGCTGAGTTGTTGCATACCTTTTTGTCCAGAGCCTAGTGGCTTGAATGCTGTGTTTTTGAAGCAGCAAACTATAGCTGGAAATGTACTTCTCAAACTCTGGGGTAAAGGAACAGGATTTTCTTTTACAACTTGCTGCTGACTGATGTTTTCCTACAGTATCTGTTTATACCCCACAGAATATTCCCATATTTTATTAAGATGTACTCTATAGAACATATTTCTGTAAAAATAAAATGAAAAATAGAAAACCACAAATTCCTTCTTCGTTATTGATGTAAACACATTGGGCTTGTCTGTGTGATTATTGTAAGAGTCTCAAATGTGGATTTGCAGTATGTGTACTGACATCTTCATGAGCCGTTACCAAGTTCTTTGCAGATGGTCCTGATTCATGCTCTGCATCCTGTGTGGTTTGGAAGAGCTGTGAAGAGTGTAGACTGTGCCCCTTGGTGATTTTCTTTAAAGACCCCTGTGCACAGGTGGCAGGCCTGCCCCACGGCCACCATCATGGCCTTTTCCGTGACTGCACATTGTCAATAGAAAGCATGGTAGTGCAATGCACGGCGTCTGTCTAATATAGGGTCTGTCTAAGAGTAGCCCTGTGTCCTTCAGAAGGCCACACATTCTACTCTGGCAGCTGCCGTGTAGTTCTACAGCAAGCCTCAGGCCTGAGGTTGACAGAAACCAAGACTCTCCCACCCACACATAATTGCCTTCAGTGCTTGGGCTCTGGGAGGAGGCCTCAAGTCAGCTCCTTATCTTTGCCTCTGATTGGCAGGCCCGTGTGAGGCACACAGGTGGGGGGATATTTGGAGAGGGAGGCAGAAGAGGCCGTGGGCCCACTCCACACAAGTCTGCCTGTCACAGGCCCCAGAGGCGTGATAACATATCAGATACCTCCCCGTAACCTTGTCAGCCTGCTGCCAGCTCGCACAGTACAACAAGAAGGGAGGATGATGGGAAATTCCTCTCCTGGCAACAAGGAGTCTGTCATGGGGTCCCCGAGGAAGTAGTGCCTATTCTTGAGTCATATCTGCCAGCACCTGGAGTCAAAATTGCCCAAGAATGGGACTCCACCCATCCACCATTCTGTGTTTTGAGCTGCACCAGTCAATGTACTTCTATTACCTTAATTGCAGTGTTTATAATAATTCCGGTTGCTGAAAGATCTGGTATATGAAGGGAGATTCCCTTGTGGCAATGGCAGGAATGTCTGCCCCCTTGGGGACCAGACAGGCTGCTCATCTTTCAGCCTCTCTTCCCCTACCCAGCACAGCCCACTCCCTTCCTGGGAAGGTTTTCTTCCAACTCTGAGTGTATCTATAGCATGCAGATGACTGTCAGGCCCTGACTTTGTGTGGCTTGTGACTCACCCCTGAGACATCCCAGGTAAGGCCATTCAGAGTCTCATCATTCCTGTCACCTTCCTAAGTGCCTTAGATCTGAGGAACAAAAGACATGGACACGGGCGCAGCAAGACGTCCTTTATAAGTCAAGGGTGGGATACGACAGTGTCTGCCCGGCCGTCTGGTCAGCGCTGACAGGGTGGCAAGGCCACAAAAGAGAATCTGACAGGTCTTCCAGGGAGGGAAGAGCTGTCTCCAACTCCATTCCACTCTGCTCTGAACATAATTTCTTTTTTCCACCTTCATCCTTTTACTTCTCAGTGACTCCTGGACCGCTTCCTAAATACCAAGACGTACCAAAGCACAGGCAGGTGTGAGCCATAGGTCTTGAGTGGAGACGGACCAAGAAGGGGCATATTCTAAGACATTCAAAGTCAAAATAGTCAAGGTGATGGTTTTCATATAGTCTCTCCATTCAGGCTTTCCTGAGCCCGGTCAGCCAGGTCAGCCAAGTCAATTTGCAAACCACACTTATTCCCAAGGTGGACTGACCATCTGCAGAGCTCAGCACTCAGCAAGACAGAGCTGGACCTCTTTACCCAGGAGCTTTCAAATCTTTCTCAGACAGTTGCATTTACCTATTACCAACAGTGCTGTGGTGTAGCAAGCAGCCGTTCTCACCGTCACTTTGGCTTTTTTAAGCTACGAAGGAAAGCTTTCTCTCATCCTGCTAACACCATCCCTAAATCACAGTTGTTTAGGAACACCACGAAGTCAAGGGTTAACCATCTAGGAAAAAAAATCGTCTCAGAAAAATCATCCCGAAGTGCACAAATACCCAGGAGAAAGCAGGGGAGTAATTGCGGGTAGTTGGCTCCACAAATACCCTCTAAGCGTAATTGGAAAGCACTCCATGCTTGCAGCCATGCGCTGTAAACGCTAAGCACAGGCGGCGTCCAAAGAAATGAGCAGTTCCCCCACCTAGGCAAGGCTTCTGCTGGAAACCTTTGCAGATCTCCTCTAGGTGTGTGTGGCCCCGCCCTCTGCACTCTTGGAAAATGCGGTTTGCTTGGAGTCTGACTGGGAAGAGGAGGGGCCCTGATTTCATTCACAAGTCCAAACTCCTTTCTTTCCTTTTACTTTTCTTTCTCTTGCCCTTGCCCTGTGGAAAGGAAGTGCCTGTGCACCCTCTTCTTGTCTGTTTTTATTTCTTGTCTTCTGTTTAGCGCCGGTCTAGCCTAAAAGTCTCCATAAACATGTCTGAGTGTCGTTGGTTTTCCACAACATCATTTTTTTATGTCCACAATGGACTCTATCATGTGGTTATAGCATGACTTGATAATAATGAATACAAAACACTTTCTATGGGTCTGCCTTAGATGTATCATCTCGCTGTTTTTTTATTACGAAAACAGGTTGGGGAGCAACATTTTGCTCAAGGTCACAGGGAGAAGGTGGAAGGGTTAGACCTTACCTTTAGGCTGCAGAGTTTCCGAATCACTACTTTGACTGCTGCTGTCATTCATGTCCTTTCTAAGTTGGAAATGTTGCAGAGCCAGGAAGAGTATCTTAGGGCTACAGCTTTAGCACACCTCCATGTTGTTTTCAAGGATAGGGTACCAAGCAATCTGGAGGCACCATAGGCCCTCCCCTCCTTCCCGTGGGGGCCTTTCTGCCCACTCACATGACTGTATTTGCACCTAGAGGTAGCAGCTGTGTCCTCAAACACCAAGAACCCTTATTTCAAACATCATTAGTTTGTTCTTGGGTAAGAAACTGATGGCATTTGCAAATTTTATATTGCTAATGAGGCAAACTAACAATTTTTTCTTTGTTAACAAGTCTTACATTTTGGATTTCTTCATTGTTGATGTTTGAATTCATGCCCTTTGGACAGGAACATAGTTATGGCATCTGGGATGTTTCTCACTGTTGTATAATCTGGCTTCCATTCCCTTCCTGTTAGAAGAAGAAAGGGAGTTGAATGGATGGATAGATGGGGAATTGGATGAATGAATGAATGAATGAACTGATTCATTCCCTGAACTCTTCCTTAGGTGATTTTAACAAGGAGACAGATGTTATTGACTAGACAAGACTGGCTAACTGAATCTCCAATTTTGTTTATTCAGATGGGTCTATATCAAGGCTTTGATTTGGAAATTCTTTGTAATATGTTGGAGCTAACTTCATGTTCCTGAACTTGGAGGAATAACCATGCTAGCTCCATTTACCGGGTATCCACCAAGTGCACAATGTGTCTGTCCTCATCAGTCATGCCCTGCTCATAGCCTAGACTCATGCACGGTCCCCTCGTTCTACCATGGTATCAGATGAGGCTCTCAGGGAGGTCAGGGACTCATCACGTAGATAGTAAATGGAACAATAACATTGTCTGTGTCTTGCTATTCATCAAAGTAAATTATTGAGGAGTTGAACAATTCTATTTTTTTCTTCATTGACAATACAAATTTATCAAAATACTAGACAGCTAAACATTAGGAAGTTGTCATGGTGGATTTTATAGAAGGCAATTACTGGGATATTTAACTCCTAAGATATAATAGTTGCTTGCTTCTGGAATTCAGTGTATGTCTTTTGAGAACCCAAAGAAGTCCTTATTAGGCAGTCCACACTTAAGAGAAAATATCGGGACCCACTTCTCCAGGCAGCCAGGTTGCATGCCTCTCAACTGTTACCCGGAACCACTGGATCTGAACAAGCTTTTGATTGTTGTGAGCACATTAGGCATGATGTTTGCACAGAGCAGAAAGCAGGTGTGTGGAGAAGGGTCTTCTTGTTTACTCACCGAGGTGGAAGATAGAGGTTCTCAGTGGGCTGCTTAGGGAAGGAAGGACATTGTGAACAATTTGACATTGTATGTATCTGGGAGGTATATGCACATAAGTACAGGCCCCTGTGGGGCCGGAAGAGGACATCAGATCCCTGGGAGCCGGGGTCACAGGTGGTTCTGAGCTACCAAGTAAGTCCTGGCAACCAAACGCTGGTCCTCTGCAAGGGCAGCAAGTGCTCTCCACTGTCAAGTCATCCATCAGGCCCTCAATTTGAGAACTCTTTAGAAAAGGTGGGAGGCTTGCCAGTAGAGATTTCACAAGGTGGGGTAAAACTAGTTCTAAAGAAAGAGTTTGGAGGGGAACTTATTTACTCTTATGTACTAGATGGACCCTACAAGTACATGGTAGCACCCCAGAGGAGATTTTGTAAGCAGAGGTGGGGGCCTGACTTGCGGGTGCCTATGGCTTCAAGTGAGTATAGGCTAGATTGCCAAGCCTCTGCAATATGCCCACCAGTTCTAAGTGTTAGCTCCTCTTTCCAGCCCCACAGCTCATTTCAAGCCATTGAGAACACTGGCTATCTTTGGATGTCCCTATTTCTGATAAGGTTAATAGTCTATAAGCCTACCATGACAGTTCATTTTCTTCAAAGAAACAAAACAGGAAAACATTAGTCTAAGATCATTTAAATATACTGCCTTTTATTCAATCTACTGTGAATTCTGCAATCTAGAAAAAGTTGAAATGATGTAGGATTCCATGCCCACATATGTATATACCAAGGAATACTCTCCAACATGTGTACAAACAGTTATGTATGTATACAACCATAGTAAATTGTACTGGGAAAGTAGGAACAAATAACATGCTCAATAGAGGAAGAGATAAAGAAACTATGGTGAGCCATGTGATGGGTCACTACTAGACAAATGAATTAATTAAATTTGCATGTACTAATGTGAAGAGGGAAAAGATACATGATACTGAATGAAAATGTAACTTGCAGAATGCCTGATTCAGTATTACACTATTTATGTAAAACATAACTTAATAGCACTCTATTTATAGCTGTATATGTAATATAAAAACATCATTGGAAAAATGTACCCTAAATTGATGATAGTGATCATGCCTGAGAAGGCAGAAAAGAGGTTTTTACCTTGCATTAATTGTTCTATTTACTTTGTTTAACAAAATCAAGTACAGTTTACTTCTAGGTGCTAGGAGCATACAACTCATGTGCTTTTCAGCACTTCTTAGGCAATAGAAGGAGGAAAAAGACAATGGGAAGAGGAGGAAGAAGACAGGAAGGAAAGAGAGAGAGAGAGAGAGAGAGAGAGAGAGAGAAGAGAAAGAAAGAAAGAAAGAAAGAAAGAAAGAAAGAAAGAAAGAAAGAAAGAACGGCAGGACTGGAAAAGGACGGAATACATCTATGACCCTAATTATTCCCGGCAGAAGAATATGCACGGATACAACTCTCCTTGAAGTTGGCTCCACCACATACAAAGACATTCACATGGCAGGCCTTGAAGAGATATTTAATAAATTATTTTACAAGTTGTTATCATTAGATAATGAGAAGTATTTTCCTTTTTTGTGTGTATTACCTGCTAGGAAATGCGCCTCAATTTTGGTCTCAGTGGTAATTAACTCCTCTCAAGAGCCCGATAATCTCTGCCCAATCCTTTTGGAGGTCTGTTTTTAATTTTTTTAGAGAGAGAGAGAGAGAGAGAGAGAGAGAGAGAGAGAGAGAGAGAGAGAGAGAGAGAGAGAGAGAGAGAGAACCATAGCAACCCTCCTTTTAAATTCTAACTATTCTAAACTTGGACAGTAGGAGGGGAAATTGGCTTTGTCTTAATTAAGCATTGGGTCTTGGCAAGCATTTGCAACAACTGGTCTTTAAACGTCTTTGGTTGGCACCTGACAGCTTGTTCAGGTCTGGATGCTGGTAGACATCTTGGGAAGTCTGTGTTCTCTGGCTACAGGGACTTGCTATCCACTATGTGGTATTAATGTAGGTTGGCTGTAAGGCTAGTTGCTGTGTGCTGTCTGGCTTATTACATAGAGGTATAAACTCATAGTCAAGTCTCTCAGAAGACCCTGCTCCTAGTTCTGATTCCGTTATTTATCTGTTATGTCAGTGAACAAAATGCTCTTCATGGAAGGAAGATGGAGTTCGAGGGCTCACATACCTGGATCAGTGTCAGTTGCTATTGAGAGCTCTTACTGAGTGCTCAACCCAGTAAGCTATAATGAACAGAAGTTCATTTCTCATACTTTGGGAGGCTGGAAAGTCTAAAACTGAGGGGTGGCAGACAGTGAGATCTTTCTTGCTATGTCATCCCAAGAAGGAAAGGCAAAGCAAGGGTTAGAGGAACAGAGTGGCCAAACCTAGCCATCTATATGAAACCAACTCACACGATAATGGCATTGGTCCATCCACCAGGAGAGTACCAGCATGCTCGAGCCCCTGTGTCTTCTCAGGCCCTACCTCTCAGCATTGCACTGGAGTCAAGTTACCAACACGTGCCTTTGGGAACATATACAACCCATAGCAGCTGAAAGATGGGTAGCTGGGTACCACAATTGGTACCTGCAACAAGAGCAAATTATTCTTTTCAGCCTCTTCTCTGCATTTTCTAGTAGAGATCTCACGTCTCACAAAAAAAGATTTACATTCAAGCCAGGCATGGCTGCATGTGTCTATAACCCCAGCAAGGGAGGCCAAAGATAAGTAGATCCTGAGAGCTTGCTGGCCAACCAGTTTAGTGCTGAGCTTCCAGTTCCCTGAGATGCCCTATCTCAAGGGAGGGATGGTGGGAAGTGATAAAGCAGGAAGTCACACATGCTTCTTCTAAACTCTGTGTGCAAGCACATCCGATGTGTGCACACGCACACACAAAATAACATGCGTTCTCTGAGCTCATCCATTTTATACACTGTATCTGGTGACATTTGTAACAAAAGGAACGCTAATTTGTATTTTGCCTTTACTTTTGCTATGTCTACCATATAGCACTATGTAAGACTTATAAGACATGAACGAAACCTTTGAGAAGAAGGTAGAGAACTATTTTTAAAATAATATTTTTCCCCAATGGAAAAGCTGTTTTATTGGGAGTTGTACACAGAAAGTACATGTTAAAGTGAATCATCCCAATTTTTCCTTTTGTTTCTAAGCCCCACAAATTTGATGATTAGAATGGAAGAAGGCGAGGCTGCATTTAGGAGACAAAGTCAAGTCTTACTGCAGAGCTCAGCTCATGGTCACTACATTGCCAAGGCCTCTGTGACTGGCAACCTGACCTCCATTGCCTGGGGGAGTTTGTCTTGACTGCTGCTCTATCCTGGTCGCTGGGGACAAGAGCTAAGAAACACAAAGATGTGGCCTTCATCTCAAGCCACCAATAGTGTCGTCCCACTGCTCTGACCCCAGACACCACTGGCCCCAGCTTCCGGGTGTTCAATTTCCTGTTTTCAGTATGTAAAACCAAGGCAGACCCCACCGTCTTACTGACTGTAATGGGCCTGCCACTGATGAGTCCGGCTGCAGTGCTCTGTTTCACTGCTCAGTAATGCAGTAACTGCCCACAGTTCAGGCATTTACCTAACGGTGAGACTAAACGGGAGGAACCGGAAGGGGGTTCAGAACAGACATATCAGCTGTCAGGTGGAATACCAATACCACCACCTCAGAGCAAAGCACAATTGCACTACAACCTAGAGGCCATGTGCCAGGCAGTACTTCAAGTCTGAAAGCCTAGAAACAAAGAGAACATAGGCACGTGAGCAGCCTGGGAGAGTCTAGAAATCAGCTGGCTGGCTGGACAAAGCTGTATACACTCCCATATATATATATGTATATACATATATATAATATATATATATATTATACTTAATCTGACTAGCTATTTTTCTCTCTCTGCAATACTGGGGACCAAGTCCAGGACCTCAAGCATGCTAAGCAAGCTCTCTCCCACTGAGCTACATCTCTGGCCCTCCATGAATTTTAAAATGAGGCCAGATGCTTTTGTGCACTCACCCCCCTTTCTATGCGCTACTTCAGGCCTGCAACACGATTCCCATTTCCTCCACAAAGATCTGAGAGTCCAGCAGTCGGGGCGCTCCAGTGACGCCGTCGGTTAAAGCAGTCCTTTGGTGGCA